TTTTGTATAAGGGCTCTCTTCTCCTGCCAGTTATCTTATACAGAAACGCTTTTGGCTTGCATGTTAAATATACAAAGAAGTCCCTGGGAAAACACAAAGTTGACCTTTGTAAAAACCGTTTTGAACTAGAAGTCTTTCTTTTTCTTTCTAACAAATTTCTGCTCATCGTTTGTAAAAAATTCGGTACGAGTGATCGTCAGGGAGAGTTCATATTTCATCATTGAAAGCATCAATATATTATAGGCTTGTATAATATTATCAGATACAATAGTGTTTTTACTTAATAAAACAATCAAAAAATTCGAAGCTAGTTTGCAGATAATAAAAAATTGATTTTGTAAATTACAATAGAATCTAGATTTAAAAAAGAGTTACATTAAATATCTTAAAAATGAAATTTTGATTCAAGATAGAGAACTAGATTCATTATGACAGAAAATTTCTGATATTAAAGAATGATTAAAAAAAACACTTTGAGATTCTGAAAGCTAAGAGAATTATATAAACTATTTGAAAAAGTGGTTAGTAATTTTTCAAGATAAAATAAACAAGCTTAATGAAAAAATAAAAATACTTAGTTTATATAAAAATGGCAATAATAATAAAGATTCAAAGAACTATAACCTCACTATAGATATAGTATAACAACCAGGATCACTCAAATTAACTTTGTCAGAAAACCAAGCTATAATTCAGAATAATAAAATTCAGCAAAAGATTAATAATATTAGATGGTATTTTTAAAGCCCAATTACAATAACATTTATAATTAATGGTATTGTGAATTATCTTAATATAATTTCTGATGCTAGAGATAGGTTTAAAAGATTAGTACTAAATATATATCTACAGGCAAATACTCACACAATTTATGCAGAAAATTAAGTAGCAGACCCAGTTAACTAATTCACAAATCTAGTTAGCTACACTTCAAAATGACTACAATCTTCTACATCAGACTTATAAAGCCCATAGAACACAACACAATATATTTAAATTTTGAGAACTTGATGGTCAAATTATAATCTATATGCAAAAAAGACAAATATCAAAATTGCTTTTAGAAAAATTTGCATTGAGATTTAAGAATAGATGAACATAATAGCAACTACAAAAATATAAGACAGATAAAGCAATTACTATATATTTCTTAAATCTTACAAAAAATTAATACATAAAATAGAAAAATAAATACAAGACTCTAGAAAATGATCTATTACTTGTTGATGTTCAACTGGACAACAAGTGAGGTAAGTAAAAAACTTAGGCATGAAATTTCATGCAATTAATTTTGAATTTAAATCAACAAATTTTTATACTACAGAATAATTTACCTATAAATATACAAGCAAATATGGCATTACAACCACTACTACTACTAAATTTTTCAGATGAATATAATAAGGATATTGATATTTTTATTAGTCAATTATTATCATATTTAGTTGGCACTAGTATAGACCTAGTTATTAATTGAGATCAAGCATTTAGTATTCTTAGAAAGTGTCTATATGGGTAAGCATTAGAATGATTTGATCAAAAAATTCTTGGTAAATAATAAAAACTTTACAATATTTTTGCAAATCATGGCTAGGCTAGTATATGTGCTCTTTGGGGACATACTATAGCACAAATAAATACTAGTAATAGCTTTAGAAATCCTTCAATTGCTTATAACTATGCAAATACTGCTGGTAATAATGCAGTAACCATAGATGTTTTTATAATTCTAGCTGAAGCTTTTACTAAAGATTGGCACTTAGCTGAAAAACATTTATTGGATAGACCTGCCAATACTGTTAATGCAAATAATGCTAATCCTATAGTATTTGGTAACATTTGGATTGCTCAAGCATTATATTGGCTCAGAAATGAATATCCTATAGTAATAAGTAAAAAGTACAATTTAGTTTATAGATCATTAGCTTAGAAAGGTGAACCTATAAAAAACTTTTACTCAAAACTCTTAAAATATAGAAAAATACTTAATCTTGATGAGCAACAGATTAAGGGACAATTTCTAAAAAGTTTGTCTCTAGATTTGAAGGATGATATAAAATGCATTAGTACTGAGTAACTATTAGCTAATTTTTTTGAAATTTTAGAGCAAATTGAAATATAAAGAACAGAGAAAAAATTAGAATTAGTTAATAAAATACTCCAGTCTAGTTATAAATTGTTATCTAAATTAATAACACCTACACAATCCCAATCTGTTTCTTTACAATTAGCTTCTTAGCAAATACAGTCATCACAACCATTGCAGGCATCTTAACCTTATTATGGACCACAACCTTCTGGTATATATCAAAAAATGCAAGTTATATTAATAGATAGATTTGTACAATAGATTACTAAGAAGGCTTTAGAATTTGTTCTTATCTTCAAGCCTGATTTGCCTCCAAAACTAGTAATAAAGAATGTTAAAGTTGACTCTGATGATGAATTGGCCAATCTTATAAAGAAGCAGTTGAAGTTGCATATAGCTAAGGCTGTTAAAAAAGCTACAAAAGCACAATACTGTTGCTCAAACTATAATAGAACTGGGCATAATTCTTATAAGTATTCTCAGAAAAAAAAAAGTAAATCCAAAAATAAAAAAGGTAATGTCTATAAAGTTATTGTAGATTCGAGCTTTAAGTTAAATTCAGATACTAACTCTTCTGATAATAATTCTGATTCTGGCTCTGAATCAGGATCCAATTTTGAAGAATTCTTAGCTGAATCTGAATCTGAAAATGACATTAAGGTTCATATTAGTAAAATAAAAAAAAAAGTAAAACATAAAAACAATTCTACAAAATCACTATCTAGAAATAAATCCAAACAATTTAAAATCAAAAAAGAGAAAGCAAAGCTTTGAGCTAGAAACTCATTCAAGCCTTGCAAAGAGAATCAAAAGAAGACTTCCAATTCTGGTAAATTATAAAATAAATCTACTATTATTAATAAATCTCTTCAAAGAGTTGTACTAGAAAAACTCAAAGCTAAAATTAACACTAAAATGCTAGCTCATATTAAAAGTTTATTTACTTTGGCTCTATCTATTTAAAAATCTAATTTTAGTATACTAGTTCTGCTAAAAATTATAGAGAACCAGCTTCAGAAATATCTGATTCAGATGATGAGTTCATTGATGACCCTATGGAAATAGATTTTGTTCAGAGAAAAGATCTGGCTACAGATATTGTAACTACAAAATGCAAGATCAAGTGATTAGTAATTTCAGTAGCTACTGTAGATCCTGGTGCTAATTTTGCAATTATATCAGAAGATATAGCCAAATGATTAAAGTTGGTAATTGATACAAAAAATAAACATGACCTCAGAGGTATTGCTACTATTCCTATCAAATCTCTTGAAACTATCTGAAATGTACTAGTAAACTTTACTTCTGATTGTATCATATACTCTGATTTTGCAGTAGTTAAATATTCCAAGCTGATGTTGATTTTACCTAATACATTACTTGACAAATATAACTATGATTTACTTGCATCAAGATGGAAATTGAAACTTGTATGCAATGGTAAGGAGTTCTTTATCCTGATAAATATGCATAAAGTCAAGAATAACCTCAAAGTGAACTGTGCAACTGTATCTCAAAATAATATATCTCTTGTATCTGATCAAATTTCACAGAAGAAATGGCATACTCCTGTGGATTTTAATATAGATTCTGATGATTTGACTTTTAAAAATAAATGCATAAGCTATAAGGAGTTAGAAAAATCACTATATACTACTCTCAAGTCTAAGGCTGAAATAAATGATCTTTGTGAAAAGTTGCAATGTGTTATAAAAAGTTACTCAAATATATTTTCTCTAGAAATAATAACATAAATAAAAAAAAAAGATAGACCTAACTAGTAGCTAGTAGGTAAGTCATATTCATTATATTTTTCTCATCTCTTCTAGCTTCTTTTTTATATAATGTATCCAGATCTTTGTTATTTATTTTTTTTGTAAAGTCATCAGTATCAACTAGTATTAAGTTACTGCGAGATACTAGATCAGATATATGAATAGATTTAGACTGAGATTTGGAACTTCATTTTTTTATTTCTGTATTGAAGGAGGTAGTAGATAAGTCTTTAACTTGAGACTTCGTCTCATTTAGATGTAAAATATCTTTTCTAAATTGATTAGAATTTTTAGATAAAATTGTTAATTGAGAGTATATCATCTGTTGCTTATGCTTACAATTTAGCATATAATTTAAGACATGATAATGGTTTATGTAATATTTTTTTACTATTGTATTTATAGCATCTGGTACTATACTTATAGATCTTTTAATCTCTTGGATTGCTTCATTTAATAAATATTTAGCATTAGCACTATAATATTCTTTGTGAATATAACCTATGTTAAAATATTTTTATTATTGGAATATAAAGAAAAGTTTCAAAATGTTTGTTATATATTATTACAATATATATCATAATATTTTAACTTATACTAGCTTATCACAAAATATATTATAATACTAGGAAAACAGAAACTGTTATAAGTTCAGAGCAAAAATTGATTTGTAATAGCCAATCAAATGTTTTAATTTTATATTAATTAATCACGTAGTTAGACAGATGAACAATGATCCATGTGACAGACACCAAATTTTGCTAATGGCCTCTAGTATATATAATGATCATATGATATATTTATTCCTGAAAATATAAGTTCTTTACTATGCTCTGGACAATAACTAAACATTTTGGAATGTTTGATTATATTTAAGAAAATTTTTAAAGTATATTTAAATATTTTTTATACCAATTTAAGAATAATATAGCTAATGTTCACACATTGAAAAATATTAAAGACTATTATCTTGGTAGTATGCATGAGCAAGAACTGAAAAAAAAATTATATACTACTCTCAAATTTAAGACTAAAGTCAATAACCTTAGCAAGAAATTACATAATAAATATTCTAAGCAAGTAAAGGATTTTGATCAAGAGAGAAAGAGGTAGAATCAGAATTCATTATATTATAGTACCAAGTTTCAAAAATTATATACCTACACTTTACAAATTATTGATGAGGGTAAATGACTTCAAAATGAAAATACTAATCTTTTATCTTAACTTACCTGATTACAGATTTCCTATACTAAATCCAAGACTAAGAATGTTATAAAATTTAAGAAAATTAGATTGCTAGAATCTATAATCAAGATATTGGAAGGTAAATTATCTTTAGCTAAGAAGGATGATTTTTAATTTAAAAAAACTTGTCAGAAAAAGAATCTTTGAATTTATCTCTCAAATCTAAAATAGCTGAATTAGAAAATATAAAGAGTAAATTAGAATCAAAAGTTAATAAACTGGAGCATCTATAATTGAAGAATATATTGGGATCTATAGGCTCTTTAAGCCAGGATCCAAAGGGTTCTCTAATGATCTGTTTTGCAATAATTAGTGAAGATGATGAAAAAAATATATCAAAGTTTGATAATATCTTTGTGATTAGTAAACTTATCAAAAACCTTAGTCAATACTTTATATATAGAAAAAGTATAGATCAAGCTGGAAAAATTAGTACTATATCTCTTAACATTAGCTCTGCTATTCCAGTATCTACTAATGATAAGATTACTAAACTACCAAAAGTTAATATTGTGAATAACTGTAAAATAGTTCCCTCTGATAATATTAAGATAAGTGATGAAACTAATATTAGTAAAACTAGTAAAGATGGGGGTGTGGCGACCTAGTGAAGTAGTCAGGTTGTCAACCCCTCAAGTGGTAGGTTGGGTGTTCAAATCCCATTGATGGTGAAAATTTGGATAATCATCTATGTAATATCCGTATTACAGCAACTGTTACTAACGATTGGGTTAGGATACCTGTAATGGCAGTCACACCAGCATGACTGGCAGGTCATGGGGCATCTGTGCAATGTTGAAGTTACACAGAGGAATGCAAACCAACATATTGGGCGGTGCAAACACTAGATAAGTTCTCATGGCCATGTAAATCCGTTGAAATTGGGTAACAAGAAGTCCATTTGGGAAGATCTGAGTAGAGAGATAGCTGGATCTTCGACAGTCCTACTGTAAAGGCTAGCTCGGTGAAATGGATACCTAGGTCTAGTACTCGGTCCTAGTAGTCAGACAGGCAAGAACCTCTGGTTGGGAGTCTCGAAGGTACCACCAACCAAGCCGCTAGAACAAACTGAAGGAAAAGGATATTGGGCTAACCCGATATACTGATGGACTGGTCGTAGTCCTACATGGGTTATCTGGATTAAGAGTCTGATAAAAGGGTAGAGTAAAAGGCAGGGGTATACTAAAGTACCAGGGTTATGCTGTGAAGTAGATGCTGAGATCTAAGTGAACTCTACAAGAGCATAGTGGTTTAATGGTTAGCCCTGACCGCAAGTGTTGGTTCTGCCATAGCAATACCTAGGTTAGCTGTAAAAATGGGTACAGAAGGCTTTGGAGGGTTTACCTTAAGAATAAATTATTCTAAGGTTGAGAATGATGATCTGGTACATCTGAGATGACCAGTGATGTTAACACAGGTTACAGATTCAGAAGGTTTAAAGTAGAACACTCAAGCAGGGGTGTTAGGTATAGCAATTGGTAGGGAACCTTTGGGTGGACTTCTTAAATAGGTAATATAGAAAAGTTACATGTGTAGCCAATTGTATACTCTCCTGTAGTGGTTTATTGAACCACAATACTGATAAGTGATTAATAAAAGTCAAAAGACCAAAGAGATCACCTTAATATCAAAAAAAAAAAAAAAAAAATTTTTTAAAAACTAATAAAAATAAAATAGTTTATATTACTTTAAAATTATAATTATAACCTAGTCATCTTATTCTATTCAACATGCCTACTTTTAGTATTGTAGCACCTAACACTTTAGATCTTGATTACTTTTTGAAAAATTATACTAACTCTTATAGTATTATAATTTTTAAAAAAAAACAAAAAATATTAAAGTTATTTTTAACAAATACAAGTTTACTAAATGTTTTATTATAAAATTGTGAACTTATTTAGCTACATATTTTTTTAATTTTTCTAACAACTACAACTATTAAGTGTATATATGGATTATTTTATATCTAATTTATTTTAGTAAGCAACTAAATATATGAAATTACCAATATAATTAAACTAACAACAATTAATTCACAAATCAAAAACTTTGACAAACCTTTTACAAATCTATATCTAATGTTTCACCATTTTCTTCATTAACTACTCATACACATACTTGTCTTAAATATCAAATTTTAATCAATTGCAAAGTTATTAACAACAATTATAAACTGCAAAATGAAACTATGTTTTACAAAAATAATAACAACTGTTTTGCTAAATCTATAAACAAACTAATTTAAGCATCAATCCAAATCTTAATCTACCAATAACTCTGAACAAGATTTCTTTTTATAATACAAGTTTTCAGTTCAATAATCTACTTAATCTTTTAAATAATTATTATTTAAATAATTCTCTTATTTTTGAGTCTACATCTTTCTTATTAACCTTTGCAAAAATAACTAATATCAATAATAATATAAATATTAACAACTCCAATCACTAAACAACAGCAATTCCAATACACTAACTAATAATTTATAACAACATCAACCTTTACATCAAGCTTTACCATTATAACAAAAACAACAGTTTAACTAAAAAATTACTTTAACAATCTCAACTATCTTAGTTTTATAACCAAATAATAAAATCTAAGCTTAACTTATCATATAACTTTGTAGCAAACCTTTCAGTTATAGATGAAATGCAAAAATTATATAAAACTACAAATAAAGTTATCTTACAAACTTTTTAACTTTCTTAAAAAACATTTTTATAATTTTTATTCTGATAAAGTTATCAAAGAAGCATCTATGCACTTAAAGCAAGCTTTTATTTAATAATTAAATAAATAACTAATGCTAGATCACAATTTTTTATAGAATTAATTTAATAACATAATGCAGATAATAACAAATCTGTTATAATTTTATTTAATATTCTTAAAAAACACTTAAAAAACTTATTTTTATATTTATAATAGTCTTTTTACCAAACTTAATTATCTAAAAATATTTGCCTTACCTGCTACTATTTCTTTTATCTGAACCTATAATTATTTACAATTTTACATTAACCTTGCCCAACTTCATTTATATCTTTCTGACAATTACCAAGCAATCAACTATATCAAATTTGCAGAATATATTAAACTTAGATCCAAAAGGTTTAACATAACATCTAAGGTTATTAAAGTTGATAAACAACATTAATTTCTTTTTATCAAAATAAACAACTAATTTAATATTAAACTTAACTTTAACCTTTCCAAAACTTTATTTCTTAAAAAATACAATATACCATCTCTAAAAAATTTATTTACTATTTTAATAAATAGTTTAAACACTTTTTTCTATATACAGTTGCCAATTTTTTAACACTATTAATAAAACCAAAGTTTTAAATTACCTTAAATATAAATTTAGACAATATTTCATCTTTTATCTCAAAAAACTCTTATTTATTACTGTTGAGTTTAAAAAACTAACCAGCTTTTACAAAAAATATAATAAAACTTTTAGATATGCTAATTACTATATACTTATTTGTACTAACTTTAAATGTTTTATCTTGAGCCAATTATAATTAAAAATAAAGAAAAAGAACTTAATAATAAAAAGAAATCTGATCAGACAATTAAATAACTTTTTTTGAAAATTACCTGAACCAAGTTGGCACTAAAAATAGATTAAAGACTTTGGCTCCAAAGTGAATAATATTTTTAGTTTTACACTAAGTAAACTTGCTGTTGACAAAGTTCAAGTATGTGAAACACTGAGAAATGAGCAAAACTTAAGTAGTTCTTGCTTTGGGTTAAGTTTTTTGTCTAGTAAACTTCTTCACATATTTGGCATCCAAACTAAAAGAATATTCTAAAAGTAAATAGAAACAAAATTAGTTTTTTGATTAAGAATATTAGAAGCAGAAGAAAAAAAAAAACAACTAGAATAACTTTTCTTAACTTGAACTCTTGCAACAATAATATATATTCTCTTTGTTCTTTTTTTATTTTTTTTAAAAGTGAAGATTTGGCATATTTTCATCAAAAGATTAATATTGTGCATTATTTCTTTTTATAGTTATGTGCTTGTTTGAATATGGTGAATAAGAAATACAACAAATATGTGTATTAGCCAATCATGTAGAGCAAATCAGAAAAGAATTTAAACTAAAAAAATCAAAATTATATTAAGATATATATTCTGAGGCTATATGCATAATATTTTTTAAAAAAAAATATTTATAGAAGTTTATAAAGAATTAGATTATTTAAGTGCACTCCAAACATTGTCATAATAAATCAATTACTTGAAGATTTCTCCTATATGAAAAGTGCCTGACTTGAACTCTATCTTACAAATAAATACAATTTTTATTCTGGTTAAAAGTATCTAGTTTTTAGAAAATAGCTATAGTTCATAAAAATATGAAAACATTGTAATAAGCAGCAATTATAAAATAAAGTTTTATTCTGTTAGCAGGTTTTTTTTTATTTTCCTTATAGATTAGTTTCATTTTTTTTTGTTAGTTTTATCTTATTCCTTATTTTTGTTTTTTTTTCTTTAACTTTAAAATCTTTTTTTTATTTTTCTTTTCTTTATGAAAAGATGTCTTCAGATTGGCAATATTCTATTGTAGAATGAGAGTCAGACAAGTTATAATTTTTAGTTCTAACTATATTAGTATAACAGATTATATTTAGATATCATTTGGGTAGTTGAATGATAATAGACTTATAAGTTAAATGATATTCTGTATTTACATATGTAGCTACAAATAGTTTAATAAAATACTACTATAACTACTTAAGAAAAAAAATTTTTTGACAACGTTCAAAAAACAAACCCCAATCTATAACTTATATATAATTTATCAAAACTTATTAAAAACATATTTGATATATTATATAATACTTACTCAAAGAAAATTAAAGTTTAAAATAACTTCTTTCTTAATACTTTAATATTTTATATTTAAAAAAAACATGAAACTATATTCACTAAACAAATTCTTACTACTGTTTTAAATAAACTAACAACAAAAGCAATTCAAAATAACAAGTATTTTATTTTTACTAATATCTAACTATTTACCAAAACACTGCTGCACAAAACTATAATATAACAAAATGGATAAACAATAGGCTATTAACTTTCTTATATCCAAACTTATTAATACTAACTTCTTTGTACATATTATTATATACTTTAATTTCACCTACAATGAATCTTTTAACTATTCTACAATAAATAAGTTTTACAAAAAAAAGCCTTACTAAAAGCTAAAATAATTATATAAAAAATTTAATATTAAATTTAAAATACCAAATTTTATTGAACTCTATCAGAATAGTTTTCAAAAACATAAGTTATGTGATGGCATCATCTGTTATAGTTGCTGTAGATGAATCAGTACTGAATTTATAGTGCTATTGCTAATGAAAATTTTGACTCTGTATTACATATTTGCATATTGTATATATTGAATATAGATAGCATTACAACATGATCTGTATTTTTGAAGTCTATTTTAGTAAAGTTTTTCTATTGCAAAGTTACTCTTTTTAGAAAAAGAAGAACAAAATCTTTTTTAATAAATTTGTCTTTTA